AAAACATTTTTTAAAAAACATTACAATAAAAATTTAAAACAGTTAAAATAATTTAAAAACAGTATAAAACCACATAAAAATATTCAAAAACTAAAAGACACAGCCAAAACACCATCCACCCAAAAGCCACCCTGCCATGATTCTATATTAAACACCTGCTTAAATCTATAAATAAACAAAATATTTTTATTCATATGTTGAATGGTGAAGGCATGATGTTTGCATGTAGATGTAAAAGAGGGTCCCAAGGGTAAAAAGTCTGAATACCACTAGGCTAGCCTGTTTTTGTTGTTGTTATAATTGTGGGTGGATGTTTTAATAGTTAAGTATTGTACCTACTAACTACTTCTGAAATACTTTTACAGAATAAATTCTTGAGTCTTAATTTAGTGTAGTATCAGGGCCAGCCCAAGACATTTTGAGGTGAAACAGCAAATAGTGTCCTCTACAGCAATTCAGAATAATAATTGTGGATGGCCTTTGATTTTGTATATGTGTTTTTGAAGGATCTGAAAAAGAAAAAATTGATAAGCACTTTTTCCCTTCCTGGTGAAAAAAAAATGCAAATAATCATCTCTAAAAATGGCTTTCTCACAATTTTCTCTCCATTCATGAGCTGAGAAAAAGCTGCTTGAGGGAGACATGGCAGTCTACCTAATGACTGGGCTGGCTCAGTTAAGTATTAGATGAACAGCAAAGTGCTGATTACAGCCCTCACTGTGATATAAAATGAACTGGAGATCAAGCCAAGGAGTCTGTGAAATTAAATGGTCACAAGAGAAATGGATTGATCCACAATTCAGTCTTATTCCAAGCAACACCCATTCACCACACAAACCCGATGGCTGAATGGTATTTCAATAAAGTACATTATCAAATAAATCCATTGTTACTGGTGTATATATGAAGTGCACTTGTACACAAGCTGTCTATCAGTGGTTGAGGGGCTCTATGGATATAGTAGGGAGGCCCCCACATGCTGTTCTTGCTGTGTTGAGCTTTGCCATGACTATGGATGTTATCACACGGGGCCCAATCCAAACAAAATCCAAATGAAATCCCGACCGAAACCGGATTATTTGCCCATGTTTTCACACGACGTCATGCAGAACCCCGACAGAAAGTGGACAGAAAGTGCAAAGAACCGAGATCTTTTGAAATTCGGTTTCTTGAGGAATTGTAATTGCGCGATGAGGATCATTTCGCATTTATCGTAAGTATGATAATCAAATACGTATTGGGGAGCATTTCCCCGTCATTACCCATGGTTCCCGCAAGCATTACTCTATCTGCTCATGTGCAGGAGGCTCATTTCTGCTACATTTATGGGTTTTTTTCTCTTGTGTGTGGACGTTCAATGCAGTTACTGTAAATGCGCAATGAAGGTAATGACGTTTGCGGAAACAAGGTTTATTTCCCGTTTATTTTTGGGATGCCTCATTTCCACTTTATTTTCAGTTTCTGGGCCACGTGTGATAACGCCCTATGAGCATGATCCCATACAGCACCCATTTGCACCCATAAAGAGAACCAGCTGTCCAGTGACCCGTATTGAAGTAAGATTTGTTTGCCAGGCTGTTTGGCTCCACCATACGTGAAACTAGAGGGAGGGTGCATGGCTGCCATCTTGTCTTTTACCTCGATTTGGGCCAGCTCTGGTTAGGAATCCTCCATTTGAAAGGGACATGTATGAGAAGCTGAGGCTCGAGCCCAGTTGATACATTTAAACTGTCTTTCTAGCAAAACCTGAAGAATGCAGTCAGCCCTCCGTATCCACAGATTCTTTACCCATGGATTCAACCATCCACAGCTTGAAAATGTATATTTAAAAAAATGAATTCCAAAAAGCAAGCCTTGATTTTGCCATTTTGTATAAGGGTCACCATTTAACTGTGCCATTGCATTTAATGAGACTTGAGCATCCACGGATTTTGGTATCTATGGGGGGGGGTGTCCTGGAAACAAACCCCAGCAGATATGGAGGACCCAGTGTATATGACACTGAGCTGAGGCACTATTTGGGATATATCTTAGTCCCGGGTTCCCCAGTCACTCACTTAGAAGAATTCTGTATAAGTTAAAAAATGTAATGTTAGTTTTTGGTGTTGTACAGAATTTGTGGGACATACCTCTGTCAGATGTCATGATAAGCTTTAAAATAGGTCACTTTAAAAAGTGTTACCGTATTTTTCGGCATATAAGACGCATTTTTTCTTCCCCAA